TTTATTTATTTTTGGGACAGAGAGAGACAGAGCATGAATGGGCGAGGGGCAGAGAGAGAGGGAGACACAGAATCGGAAACAGGCTCCAGGCTCTGAGCCATCAGCCCAGAGCCCGACGCGGGGCTCGAACTCACGGACCGCGAGATCGTGACCTGGCTGAAGTCGGACGCTTAACCGACTGCGCCACCCAGGCGCCCCTAAAATTTGAACTTTTAACACATCCAGCTGAATAAGCAGAAAAGCAGGGAGAAAGCTGAGACCTAGCTCCTACCTTAAATAGCAGGCAGAACTTAGTGGGGCCAGGTCCAAACTGGAATTTAGGTCCTGAACCCTGTCCTACTTGGATGTGCCCGTTGAAAAGGAGAAGGGAGAGGTGAGATCAGGTTTCCGAGTCAAGCTGCAAAATAACAGGTTTGCTGTGGGAAGACCACTGGACCCGGAATTAGAGAAGGTAAGTGTGAGTCTGTTCTGCCATCCGCTTAATGTTACTGGCCTCACAGCATTCTGTAGAGTTCTGCGGGCAAGTAACGAAAACTTATTGGAACTATAGAAGCAAAAGGAGGAATTACTGGAAGGATACAGAGACACTTTACAGAACTTAAAAAAGAGATACTGATACAGCTGGGCCTTAGGAAGAGATCAGGAGTGTCAAATTCATCTGGGATCATACAGCTTGTCTCTGCCCATGGGCTTCATTCTTTGTAGACTGACTTTCTGTGCTTTGTTTCATGAAACGTGCAAAGGTGGACACCTCATAGCTCATGAGTTTACATCTTCTCTGTTCGAGTAGTCAGCCAAGACTGATCTGGAATCACTTAGATAACTAGAAGAGACACTTTGATTGGCCTGCCTTGGGTTTATTGTCCACTCCCATCTCCATGGAATCAGGGTCATTGAGCATAAACATCATTAAAGAACAATCATATGGGCAAGGTATCCTGCTCGAAGCAGGATAGTAATGCCAAGATTCATCTAGGGGAGTATCTCAGAACACAGACTCACTTGCTCAACAGAGACCTCAAATGCAGTGGCTTACATAAGATAGAAACAAGATAAACATTTCCCATGTAACAGTTCAGTTATAAGCAGTATAGGGCAGAGAGACCACAGCTGAAGTACTAGCTGCTGGGCTGCTTTTATCTGGTGGCTACGACCTGTAGTTTCACCCACCATGTGGTTCATTACTGCTCATCGTCTGATTCACTTTCAAGATGGTGGAAGGGGTAAGACTCCATCCTCTCTAAAAGCATGACCTCAAAGCTGCCCATGTCTCTTTTGCTCATATCCCATTTTCTAGAACCCATGTGGCCAACTGACCTGCAGAGAAGGCTGGGAAATACAGTCTTTATTCTGGGGTGCCATGTACCCAGTTAAAAACCGTAAGTTCTACTGCCACAAATGAAGACAAGTAGAATGGTGTGGAAAAATGAAACATCCTCCTACAGCATAATATTTCTTACCTCAACAAGTTGTTCTAGGGATCAAATGACCTGGTAGGAAAGCTTTATAAACTGTGAAGCATAATGTAATCGTATGAACCATGATAGAGAAACCTTCTTATGAGTTATTTGTAGTCCAATGTTGGGATGAAGAGGCTTTACTTTTGAGTCAGGAGTTCCTCATTTATTATTTGTGTGACTTGGGTGAGTAATTCAAACTTTCTGGGTCTCAGTTTCATCAAAGATAAAATGGGGCTAACAATGGTTGGCTCAAGGTCACTCAAGGGTGTTAAGAAGATTAATTAGGCAATGTATGC